TATTACAGACTCATGCATTTTGTCAAGAATTGCCAATATTGCACTAACAATCTCCCCCTTTGGCATTTCCTTGACAAAACCCTCAAATACAATATTTCAAAATTTTAAAACTTATGCACTGAAGTCTGTAATCTGCACACATTAAACAAAACACCTGTGACGTACAAAAGACAGATGTTGCATGTTTATTAAAAAATAAGGATAATCATTCAACTATCTTTCATCGTCCAAAAGAGAAAATAAAAATAAGCTTTATTATGAAATAAAGATAATCATTCAAACATGATGTATCATCCAAATAATAAACTAAAAGAAACCCTCACTGACTAAAACATTATTCTAGCAAAAAATCATTCCCCTTAACTTCTAACTAAAATCTCTCCCCCTAACTATAGTCTCTCCCCCTTTTTGTCATAGGAAAAGCCAAATTAATCATGCTTAGGCAACAATTCGTCATCGGTAACCCAGTAGAGATCTTCCTCTGGATCATCGTCTGAAGTAGGAGTTGGCAGCGGTGTGCGTTCCAGAATTGGTGGACATGGAGTACGAGAAGGTGGTGGAACACTAGCAGGACGGAAGTCAGAATCATCATCAGAGGATGAAATATGAATGAGAGGAGTAAGCATGTGATTGGGGATACGATGGATACATTGCTCCAATTGAGAAAGTCGATGACTAAGATCCATGATAGAAATCTTAATGAACTGCTCCAACTGAGAGAACTGTTTGCTGAGATCAAGAAGACGCTTGAAAACCTCAGTGGGACAATCAGCAGAAAAAGTTGAAGGAGCAGGTGGGGACGAAAATAGTCTGCGAGTCACAGACCTTGTGCGGGGAGAAGAGAAGGGTGGAATAATGCTCAGAGTCGTGCCTTTCAAAACATGAGAACGTGCAGACTTGCGTGATGAAACCATGATGAAAAAATTGTATGGAAAACAAAAATAAGGATGACAGCAAAGGAAGATGGAGGCCACGGTAATAAGAAACAAGGATGAAAAAACCAAGGCAATAAATAACAAACAAGGACGAGATGTTCGACTGACAATGAACAAAGGAAAAGCACGGGAATAAAAAGACCAAACCAAAGTAGAAGTTCAAGTTCAACCCAACTTAAAAGACCAAAGAGATAAGTAGAACAAAATAAATAAATAAATAAATAAATAGAAAGATGAAAATGACTCATTATCTAGAAATCAAAGGGGATAAAGCAAAGAAAAGGAAAATAACGATTTTTTTTTATTTTTTATTGTCCACATAAACATAATACAAACAAAAGAAAGCCAAAATAGTCAAGACTATAGAGATGCAATATGATTAAACAAGCCAACTCAAGAGCAACCCCTAAACTCACAAGGAATATTCTCAAATTTCACTCAAGGTGTTTGGGGTGAAGTGTTTACACTCAAAAAGATCATTATGTGAATACCCTACCATAGGCTTGCAGAGCAATCTCATCTCCACACATCAACAAATTACCCTCAAGAGATGAAATAGGTTCTTACGAAGGGTGATAGCAGGGTGTAGGTACGGGATTAAGAAAAAAAAAATATGGAGGAGATAAGTCCAAGAAGCTATAGAATCCTGTCGAAATAAAACGGAAGAGAGGTGGAGACAGAGAGAACCACTAGAGCAATAGAGAGTGCTTTGCACATTTAATATATTTGTGGTCTTCAAGTACAAGTATACCTTTGAGTGGCTTCAGAGATAAACAATTGCCAGGTGTGTTATACACACGAATCTTGATTGTTCACCTTTTTTTTTTTTTTTTTTTGAGATAGCTTTTCTTGACTTGGAAAGATTCTGTCAGCACAAGTTTTGCTCTGCAATGGGAAACAGTCTTGGACTCTTGCCTAAAAAATTTATTCAACTGGCTTGGATTGTGGGGAGACCCAGGGTATAAGAAGTGAAGTAGGGAATATAAACTGAAGGAGAGGTTCAATAATGCAGAAAAATAATAAAGCATTGGGGTATAAGAAAAAAATCATAATTCTTATTTTCATCTCAAAAGAAGAGTAAAGAGCGATACAAAGCCTCGAGAGATCGCAAAGCAAGTTCTAGAGAGTTAAAAATCACATAAGATAGAGCACACAGAAACGAGTAAAAGTGTATGAAAAATGCATACACTAACTAGAGGCTCAAAAGCTCACAGGGTGCAGAGGTGCAGGTAAGAAGTCAAGTTTAATCAGAAAACATACATATAGTATCAACCACCAAAGCAAAAACATATTATGTATAGCACAAAGTAGAGAATGCAGTGGACAAAAGTTTTGTAGACTAACAAGAATTGGACTTCTTTTGCGTTGATGTTTAAGAAAAATTAATAACTAAGGAAGAAAAAGAAGAAAAAAAAAAAAGAAAAACAATGAAGTTTAGAGAACACGACATATTCCTCATGCCTTTCGAAGAGTTTCGAAACGATGAGTGTCGAGAGGCTTAGTAAACAAGTCTGCAAGTTGATGTTCAGTGGCAATAAACTTCAATATTAAAACCTTCTTTTCAACCAGATCACGAATAAAATGGTGACGAATGTCAATATGTTTGGTACAAGAATGTTGAACTGGATTCTTGGAAATGTTTATAGCACTAGTGTTGTCACAGAAAATAGAGAATGTGCCTTGATTAATGCCATAATCATGAATCATTTGGTTCATCTAAAGCAGTTGCGTACAACAGCTACCAGCAGCGATGTATTCAGCTTCGGCAGTGGATAAGGAAACACAATTTTGTTTCTTACTATGCCAAGCGACAAGATTGTTTCCGACATAGAAACATCTTCTAGAAGTACTTTTCCGATCATCAGCATTTCCAGCCCAATCGGCGTCTGGAAATCCAGCAATTTCAGAATTGGTTTCAAAAGAATAATGTAAACCAAAATCAACCGTGCCACGTATATACCTGATGATTCTTTTGACAGCTTCCAAATGCGATTCTTTTGGATCAGCTTGATATCGTGCACATGCACCAACACTATAAGAGATATCAGGCCTACTAGCAGTAAGATACAACAAACTTCCAATCATACTCCTATAGAGGGTTTGATCAACACTTTTTCTATTTGGGTCCTTGTGAAGTTTTGTGGTTGTTGCCATGGGATTGGAGACTGGTTTTGCTGAATCCAAACCAAACTTCTTAACTAGCTCACTTGCATATTTTGTCTGAAAGACAAGAATACCGTTTTCAACTTGTTTGACCTGTAATCCTAAGAAAAAATTCAATTCCCCACACATGCTCATTTCGAATTCGCTTTGCATAACTTCGGTGAATTCTTTGACAAGTATGTCAGATGTTGAGCCAAATACTATGTCATCCACATACACTTGAGCTATCATCACATCCTTGTTTATTCTTTTAACGAACAAGGTTTTGTCAACACCTCCTCGAGTATATCCTTTCTTTAACAAATGGGTTGAGAGTTTTTCATACCATGTTCTAGGAGCTTGTTTCAAGCCGTACAAAGCTTTCTTCAATCGATACACATGATCAGGATGTTTTGGATCAACAAACCCCTTTGGTTGCTCCACGTATACTTCTTCTTGAAGTACTTCGTTTAAAAAAGCACTCTTGACATCCATTTGATATAATTTAAAACGCAGATGACATGCAAAAGCAAGTAACAACCTAATGGACTCCAATCTCGCAACGGGAGCAAATGTCTCGTCAAAATCCAAACCTTCTACCTGAGTGTATCCTTGAGCAACTAGACGAGCTTTATTTCTCGTTATGATACCATGTTCATCGGTTTTGTTTCGAAAAACCCATTTTGTTCCTATAACATTTGTTTCTTTGGGCCTGGAAACAAGATACCATACATCATTTCTAACAAATTGATTGAGTTCCTCCTGCATGGCCATTATCCAATCATCATCTAAAAGAGTTTCCTTGGCATTTTTTGGCTCAATCTTTGATATGTAGCACGTGAAGTTTACTACAGCAGTAGTTTTGCTTCTTGTTAGTATGGTATCTTCCACGTTGCCAATAATGTCGAACTTGGAGTGATCTTTTTGCACTTGCTTGTGTCCTTTTCTCAAAGCTTTTGTTGAGTCAACATTTTGGTGCATTTCAACTTGAGTAGTGGATGACTTATCGATTAATTTACTTTGAAGGAATTCTTCATCTGAAGTAGGTTGTTCAATACTTAAGGAGGAGTCATTCACAACAACATTAATGGACTCCATGACATTTTTAGTTCTCTTGTTGAACACTTTATATGCTCTACTAGTGAGAGAGTATCCTAGAAAAATTCCAATATCACTTCGTGAATCGAATTTTGCTAACATTTCCCTATCTCTATAAATGTAGCATATACTTCCAAACACTCTCAAATGCTTCACGTTTGGTTTCTTTCCTTTCCAAATCTCATATGGTGTGCACTTTGTACCAGGTCGAAGATAGACTCTATTTGCAGTATAGCAAGCAGTGCTGACTGCTTTAGCCCAAAAATGACTTGTCAAACGAGCGCTAGTCAGCATGACACAACTCATGTCAAGCAACACACGATTTTTCCGTTTAATAACTCCGTTTTGTTGAGGAGTGATTGGAGCAGAAAAATTATGAGCAATTCCTTTTTCATCACAAAACTCAGAAAATGATGGGTTTTCAAATTCAGTTCCGTGATCAGTTCTGAGTTTTATCACACGATCATTTGAAGCAACTCTATCATTTTGAATTCTATTTAACAAGCCACAAAATGCTTTGAACGCATCAGATTTCTCACGCAAGAATGCAACCCAAGTAAAACATGAGAAATCATCCACCAAGACAAGAATATATTTCTTTCCCCCAATACTTTCGGTCTGTACTGGTCCAACCAAGTCCATGTGCATCAACTCCAAAGGTCGTGAGGTTGAGATGTAGTTTGTTGACTTGTGTGAACTCTTTGTTTGCTTTCCCACTTGACATTCTCCACAAATTCCAAGTTCTCCAGCCAACATTGGTAAACCTCTCACATATTCCTTCTTGGAATGCTTGATCATATCCTTACAATTCATATGGCCTAATCTTTAATGCCATAAATCCAAAACATCATCAGTTGCTTTGTTGCATATACTTGGCACATGTGATTCATTTGCATTCACACAATAACAATTGTCTTTAGACCTTTTTCCTTCAAAAATGTCTATCCCACTAGCAACTTTCACACAACATTTCAACTTATTGAACAATACTTCAGCATCATCATCATCACAAATTTGACTGATGCTAATTAAGTTAGCTTTAAGTCCATCAACTAACATGACATCTTTTAAGCATGGAATTCCTAGAGTTTTGATTTCTCCTTTTCTAACAATCCTTGCTCTTTTTCCATCTCCGAAAGTGACTGCTCCATTTTTACAATCCTCGGTGAAGGTTGTGAACCATCTTTTGTCTCCAGTCATATGCCTCGAGCAGCCACTGTTGAGATACCAAGTATCAGACTGACAAGTTGAGAGGGCAGTAAAAGCCACCAAACATGTAAGATTGTCTTCATCAGATGATGGTGACATCTTATCCAATAAGAAAACTTGAGTCTCCTTTCTTCTCCATACTTGTTTTAAGTTTGGAGTGATGGAATTGAGCATTATTTTTGAAATTCTATTCATTCGCCTTGAATGAGCAACAAATCTCATTTTGAGATTTGATTTTCTAGACATCCAATGGGTGGTGTGCTTAGTTTGATCTTCCTTTCGAAGTTTGTTACATCTAGGTCTGATATGTCCTATTTTTCCACAGAAGTGGCAAGTAGGAATGAAGGTTTTTGACCTAATGAAATTTCTTTGATCAACAAAAGTGCTCACATAATTTGGCTTATTTGTAGTGGTACACGAATTTCCAAAGGGTTCATCACTACTTTCTTTCTTGCTTGGTTCTTGTAAAGCCTTGACAAATCTAGTAACAGAAGAGGAAGAACTTCCAGTTACATTAAAATCAAAACCTAAACCACTTCTAACACCTGAATTTTTTCCATAGCTTAACATTTTGTCAATTTTTCTTGATCCAATACTAAACTCTTTAAACTTTTTTTTTTTCATGCCTCTTAATTCATTTTCAAGGATTTCGTTGTCTAATGCTAGCATATGTAGTTTTTCCAACATTGACTCTCGTAGCTTCTCTGCATGTTCCATTTGAGATTGATGCTCAATCTCTACTTCCTTCTTCTCGCTTTCAAGCTGCACAAGTTTATTTTTCAGTTCATCATTTTCTTTCTTCACTTTCATGGTGATATCATAAAGTGCAGTATACTTTCGTAAGACTTCTACGAAATCAGGTTCTTCAACTACCGAGTCATCAGTCTCATATCCATCAAAGATTCCAATAAACGCAACCACTTCATCATCATCTTTAGATGCTGTGTCCTTCTCTGAATGACTGTCACTCCAAGTGGAGGTTAACGTCTTGTTCTTTTCATCCTTCAGCTTTTTAAGAGTATTGGCACATTCATGAGCATGATGTCCATACCCTTGACATTCAAAACACTTGTCTTTGTCATTTGAACTTTTCTTTTCACCAAGTTTGACAAACTTAGAAGAATTTCCATGAGAGACATCTCGAGAACGAGGAACTTTGGAGTTTGAATCAAAGTTGTTTCGATTTTCACATCCCCTGGAACTTCTGAGTTTCAAAAATTTCCTAGCTTGTTTGGTGAGAAGAGCAAATTCATCTTGAGTTAGGTTTTCAAATGAATCCTCATTCACTTTTTCATTATTGACTTTGAAGGCTACATTTTTCCCTTTCTTGACTTCGATAAAGTTAGATTCATATGTTTGTAATGACCCAATCAATTGTTCCAACTTGTAAGTGTTTAAATCTTTCGATTCTTCTATAGCTGTCCTTTTCGCATGAAACCTAAAAGGAATAGACCTTAGAATTTTCTTAACTCTATGTTCTGGAATGCTGTCACCAAGATTATGACAACCATTGACAATTACACTAAGTTTAGCATAAAAGTTAGAAAAACTCTCATCATCTAGCATTTTGATATTTTCAAATTGTGTGATGAGATTTTGAAGCTTCGATTCTTTGACAGTGGAGTTACCTTCATGAGTAACTTCAAGAATATCCCAAGCTTCTTTCGCCGTTGAGCATTTACTGATGTAGTTAAATTGCTCAGGCAAAACGGCAGTGAACAACGCATTCAATGCTCTTTGATTGAATGTGCTAGAGTTGCGTTCATCTTCACTCCATACCTTTCTAGCTTAAGCATAGAAATAGTAACAGAAAACTGTCCTCCGCCTTTGGTTTCTTCAACTGTTGGAGGTTCCCAGACTTCTTCAACTGCAAGCCACACTCTATCGTCAAGTGCCCAGAGAAATGATTTCATCTTTGCCTTCCATGCAGCGTAGTTGTTGCCATCAAAATGTGGCGGATGAGAAACTGAACCCATACACCGATTCATCCTAGACTACCCACGGATCTCACTAGATATTTTTAGTGACCTGCTCTGGTGCCAATTGATAGTCCTAGGATGGGTACTAACTTAACTGGAAATATAAATAAATTTCAACTTAATACTAAGTCAAATTGTGATTTATGTTAATCAGTTATGCAGCTCTATTCCTACACAAAATATCCAGCATAAATATAAAGAGTACACACATGATGTAGGATTTTACGAGGCAAAACCCACCACTGGGAAAATCCTCGGGCTACCAAGCCAGGAATCACTAAAAAAGAAGGAATACATAAAGACTTACAAAAAAAACTCATCAACCAGACACACATACCAATTGGCAGCTTTGTATTCGCGCTTTGCTACTCGATCTTTCTTTAGTCTTCGAGTTGAAGTGGCACGACACTAACACGATCGTCAATCACCTTTTCCTCGAACTTTGCAAGATACTAACTCGATCATGCAGAATGTTTATATGATGAAGTGTTTGGTTGAAAAATCAATCAATTACGAAAATCACAAGGCACATTTTCATAATTGACATTCAATAAAAAAACCAAATGAAAATCAGCATGAAAATAATATTTTCTCTTTAAAAACACATGCTATTGAAACCGTAAGATGGTAGCAACATAAAAATAATTTTCTTTAACGAAAACACATTGCTGCCTTTAGTTACCTTTTTTTTGAAGAACAAAAATTTCATGCATATACGGCTTGCCCAAAACCAATTTCAAACATACCTTATAAACCCTCAAGGCACGGGAACCAATTTGGAACTGATAAGATTTCACAACTAATAATAGGTTTTAGGTAAATGACAATCCTTTTAAAACCACAAATCCTAGATACACACGACACCAACTTTTTTTAAAACAATGACAACCATGCAATCCATTTAGTTGGATAACTCTCATCAATATGCAATCAGATAAGTCTTTTGAAAATACAATCAAATTATCTTGAAAGTAGTTTTAATAAAAGACTTATCTCAAATACAATATCATGAGATATAGATGAATGTAATTGGATGCATGCATGGAAACATACCTGAATGTGTATCTTGTTCACGTAACATCTTCTCATCAAAAGAGTAAGAGACCTCCCTAGACTTAAACAATTACAATTGAAAATATATAACAAGTCTAAGCTATTACAGACTTATGCATTCTGTCAGAGCTGCCGTGGATTCCTCTCGAGCCAACAAAAACAATGCTTTTCAAAACCATCTCAATTATAAAAAATAGCAACCCTTTGTCGTAAAACCTGCATAATTTCCTAGAAAATAGAACATATACATAAACCACAACCATGCTTAGAATAGCAAAATTCACAAATATGCCATGTCAAATATCTCAACATAAAAATATGTAAGCCAAGTGATATAAATTAATGCAAAATGATATGTCAGTCGGAGTCACCTAAAGTGACCTGTACGGTTGAATCTAGAGCTTATCCATCTAGCCGGGGTCAACTAACGTGACCTGTACGGCTCAAATCCACATCTCAACAAGTATACTTGCACATGAGTTGGAACCACCTAAAGTGGTTGGTACGACATGACTGGGTGTAAATAAATACGCTCAAGTGCTACAATCATGTGAAGACTGCGAATAATCACGGGTCACCTACGAGTCGGAACCATCTATAATGGTCAGTACGACAGAATTGTGCACCTAACTTGAAGGTAAGCATATGGTAGGGGAGGTGAACATCATGTGAAGGACTGTGCCTTAACCACGGGCAAGAGCACTAACACCGGGGTGTAGGTTTATGAGCTCTTAACGCATCTTACATAATCATCAATTACATAAACAATCTACAACTCACCTGGTACTTACCTGAGTGTCCACCACGTCAAATCACAATATGCACATAATATACAAATTCAATGATCATGTATGTATAAATCAATATGCATGGCATTTCTAAACATAATTTCATGTAAATCGATTTTCTGGGAAAAACTCAAGTATATAGGTATATACGGAAAACCAAAAGCCCATTCACTGGTATGTCAAAGGGTCGTAGGCCCCAAGTCTCGATTGACTGCGCTCGTCCTGAGGATAGGTCTCACCTATATGTGAAATAACTATATAAACGTTAAATTAAGGCACATAAATGAAACTAGCTACTAATTTCTCATACATTGCTCAAATGGGGTGTTTGAATATACCAATGTGATCTATTCAACACCACAAACATCCCCATATTTTAAAATAATTTTTGGACCACCCACACGCTGGCCAAGATATGGCCACACGCTGCCACGCGTAGGCATGTGCTTGGCACGTTGGATAGAATCCCTAACGGCGTTAAGGAATATTCCATTAAATAATTGAATATACCGTTAAATATACCTGACTCCGTTAATTGCCGTTAGGAATATTATGTCGAAGTTAACGGAATATTCTCCTTCTCCTTCCTTGGTTCGCTAGAGTCTGGCGCACGTTGCCGCTACGTTGCCGATTTCTGGGAAAACTTGAAAGCTTGATAACTCACTCATTTCAACACTGAAATTCATGAAATTTTCACTAAAATGAAGCTCTCAACTAGGAGAACATGATCTTACCACTTTGGAGTCCGAAAACAAACGGAATCTCGCCAGGAAAACCTCGAACACTCTGGCAACCTCTGCAACTCGATGAACTCGAGCTTCCCGATGTCTAAAACACTTCAAAATTCTTTTCTGAGCTGCGTGAAGATGTCCTAAAGCTTCCTAGAACCTTAAAACTGCCTGAAAGCTTCACGATCAGGTTCGCATGAACAGTGCACGAAATCAGGAATTCTTGGTTCTCGGGTTTTTGAAGGCTTCAATCCAACCAAGGATATGGATGAGTTCTCAGGCTTGCTAGGAGTCCAAAACCAACCTTTAAAGCTTCAATTCGTGCATGAAATGATTGGTCGGACGTTTGTCCGTATAACTGTACGAAATTTGCAGAAAATTCGAAAGGGATGAGAAAGAAGGTATATGGGTTGAGGGTGTGTGTGTGTGAGTGTGGTCTAATTGGCAACCTAACAAAATCAACAAAATCTTACTTCTAATTAAGTCCAAAAAGTTAGGAAGAAAAAATAGATTGGTCCAAAAGCTTAGCCCATTTACACACAACCACACAACGTTCAAAGGCAAAATCGTCATCTCACGCTATCCAAATAAATTCGGGATGGGCTGTCACAGTATATGTTTTATACATTAGCAATATTTGCTATGAGAAATTTGTGAGTAAAAGAATTGAAATAAATTAGATTCAACCCTAATGTTGAAAAAAAAAATTAAGAATTTGGATTTTTTGCGGCATGAGTCACGGCTCTAAGTTGCACCGAGCCACGACTCTAAGTCGCATTGAGCCATGTTAGCTGGCATAAAGCCCAACTGCATTGAGTTGCCACCTGGACAATGTCGTTTGACGTCTGGACCAAGGCAACGGCCCTTTGGGCTTGCCACGTGCAAGAACAAACAAGTATCAAGCCTGGGATAGGTTTAAGTTGGATCTGCAACCTTATGTTGCACCATGTCCATGTGCCCCCTAGCCCAAACCAGCAAGCATGCTGCTTATTAGGCTGGCCCTGGTGGCTCGTCCTGCCTGTAGCAGCCTCTGTACTGCTGGGCTCACCTCACCCTTGCCCAAAACCCGAAGCCAGTTCACGTTGGGCTACATCGAGCCCTAACCAAAGCTAGCTCAATCTAGGCTTGCTTCCCTGTGCCTATTTTTGGCCCAATTCCAATAGCTTTGAACTACTAAGCTTATCCCAACCCACGGCCCAAAGGCCTGCAAGGAAAGCTACTCACCCTGCTCGTGCATTGCAACTAGAACAATCAAATTAGGCTGTGTTATTTTTTAGTTTTTTACCCAAAGCTAATTATTGGCATTCCCGCTTCACAACCATATCCATATAACTTTTTTGGGACGCTTTAGATAATGATATTTAAACTATAATACACTTGTCACTTGGCCCATCGCCAACCAAAGCTAATATGACCCATATATCATTATTTTGCTTCCATGATCGACCCCATATAGTCTCGATCTATTGAATTAACTAAAAGTGACCATCAGTCTATTAATCTGACAAGAAATAAAAAATTATTGGCCTGAATATCACTTTTGGACATTAACGATTCAATAATTTATTTTTCTTCTTTGAACCGATGATATCATTTCTTTGTCCTGAATCGCTCACACTTAAGTTCTATCCACTGCACTTAAATCAATACCTTGTATTATGTGTTCTTGCAGGAACCTCATTATTATGAACCAGAAGTTCAAAATTAAACTTGAACCTATAGTTTCAAATTTAGTGCCTTTTAAACTTGAAGTTTTCATTACATTGACTATTCTAGTCTTGACTCAGACTAAAATACACCTCGGATCCACTTACTCGTACTACTAGACTACAAGCCATGTCGCATACCCATTATGTTTGGCTCAAAGCTCTCTGCATACACCATGAAAACCTAAAAATTTTCATGTACACCATGTCTTAGAACTTAAAATGTTCTTACTTTGATGCTTAGGAATATTTTATTTCCTATAACACCTATCACAATCGTGTTCCCTCCATTCAGTGGATTATCGAATCGTCACAAGTTTGAATTCAAGGATTTGGACGTTTCTAACAAAAACCACTTTATGTGGGTACAAGATGTGAATCTCCACTTAACTATCAAGAAGCTGAGAAACCATTGAAGCCAACAGTGGCATGGAATAGCTAAATAAGCCTTTTTCACGATCTTCATTCGAAGACTTATGCTTGAAGCATTACAAACGAAAATACCTCCCGAAAAAAGGTTTCATGGCTCTTTCCTTGCTCCTATGGACTGTCTGATCATGAAAAGATATTGCCTGAAGCACACGATGATTACGTCCATGAATGATTATGATTCTAAAGTTTGTAAATCTGATCAAATTTTAACTGGAGAAGAATTTTCTCTTTCTTCCATATCTTTAACTCGCTTGTGAAGTAGCAATGTAGAAAGCAAAAGTTTGCCAAAT